GTAGAGCTTGTGAGCCCCCACTATAATTTACTACATCCTCCTGTTATTTACTCTTTCTCAGGTTTACTTTATTTCGTAACGCCTTCCATCCATTTTCGTCTCTCGGAGTGAGAGACCGGATGTCGGACTGAAAACTAGAAACGAGGTAAAAATTAAGGATAATGAAAAAACAATGAAGGGGAGTAAAAGGAAATAAATAAGTAAACAAATCAATAGAAGCAAAGAAATGAGAAAATAAAAATACATAAAAGACACACATGACGATAGCATAAACAATATATTTTTTTAAGTATTTATAAAAGGAATGTAGCATTTATATGATTTGAGACTTTCGCAGCGAGTACAGTCAATAAAATCTTCTCGGGCAATCAGAACCCTGATGATTGGGACAGTTGTTTCCCGAAACGTCGGTTTACTACGTAACCAGTTGACGCGGCTGTTTGTCCGAGAAGATTTGATTGAAAGTAGCATTTCTAAAACCATGTACCCATAGCAGCTGGTGTGTTCCCTCGTGAATCTTCTAGAAGCTAGGCAGTTTGAAGGAATTCTTTGTCACCGCCGTCCTCATTGGTCTTTGTCTTTGTGCGTGGCTAATGGCCTATGTCATCACGCGCTTAATTGATCAACGAAACTCATTAGAACTCAGTTATACAGAACAGCATCCGGTATGTCTAAACGCTGCTTTGAGATTATCATTACACTATCTCTTCATAATAGAGTGAGATACGCATAGATTGAGTCGATGCTTGAATGCCGGCAGGTCTGACGGAAAGTACATCGCTACTTCGACGCTACAAAACGTCAGTTACGTTAGGTGATAAATTGTCAAACAAAACAGTCTTGTACGTGGTTACCAATGTTTCGTTAGCAAGGTACCCGGTTCGAATACGTTTGTAGTATCTGCTGTCCCGTGTGTAATATTCTGCGACTTCTCTTTTTTGTTCCAGCAAGGAAACCAGACGTGCTTAAGAGGCTAACCAACTTCTTCCCAACTCTTTCCATTTTATCCCACTTAATCGTAATTGTATCGCATTTTCCTTTATCTCCGTAGCTGGTTCAGCGTCATCGACACGAAGCAAGCAGTTGCAAATGAAACTTTGATAATGCCTTTGTACTCAGTGCTTGTTACGGAAAATCAAATTAGCCAGTTAGTTCCTTCATTAGCCTCAATATCCTCTTTCAGCCGTATTCTTTATAACGTACTTACTCTTCTTTATATAGGTTTATGGTTGCTTTGACTACCTGCCTGCGCTGTATTTCGTAACAAGATTCGGTGTAACCCATACAAAAAAGGAAGTGTCAATCCGTATGAATCTTTAAGTGATGGAAGACTCTGCTATGGGAAGTTTCTCACAGAAATAATACAGAAATCATTTATAATAATTGGGCCTATTAATCTACCATTTTGGGGATATATATATAGGATGAGTGAGAAGTACGTTTACAAACTTCCTGTGTGTTTTCCAGGATTAAAAATAAGAAACAGATGTTCCTATGAACATGGGGTCGCAAATGTTTCATTTTCGAAATAATAGCCAAAAATAAGTATCAATGAATTGGCTTTATATCAGAGTGAATCCAGCTTCCAGCAACGATTTTCAATTAACGTTTGGATAGGAATTGTTGGCGACATGCTTATTGGTCCACACATGCTTCCATCGCGTCTAACAGGACCTTCATATCGGTGATTCTTAAGAAGACACTTGTCACGTCTCCTTGAAGATGTACCTCTAAATACAAGAAGATAAATGTGGTTTATGCACGACGCAGCCCCAGCACACTTCTCCCATCGCGTCAGATATCATCTCAATGAACAGTACCCTCAGCGATGGATTGGGCGTGGTAGCCCAATAGAATGGCCACCGAGGTCACCGGACCTGACTCCATTGGACTTTTATCTGTGTGGTCACTTGAAGTCCGTCGTTTATGCAACACCCATAAACAATGTGACGATCTATGGGAATGTGTGCAGAAAGCATGCCAGATGATTCGAGGAAACTCTGGTGTGTACGAACGAATTCGTCAGTCTTGTGTACGTCGTGCTCGTGCATGTGTGGAGAATGGAGGAACAACCTTTGACCATATGTTATAAAGAAACATCCCTGTCTTTATACTTGGCAATAAAGGCATACATTGAAAATTATTTTTGGCTATTATTTCGAAAATGAAACATTTGCGATCCCATGTTCATAGGAATATTTGTTCTTATTTTTGATCCTGGAACACGCGCACGAAGTTTGTAAACATACTTCTGACTGTATATATATATATAAATGGAGTCATTCGGAGGAAACTAGGCACTGTGAATCATACCCACAATGTCATGTCGAACCTGTTGCATTATTTGTTTTATAGGTAAGTTCTGTTGTTGGCATTTTTGTAAATGTCACATTTACTCAGAAATTTTATTTATACACTGGTCTATAGGTGATGCACTACGTAAGTTAATTATGGATTTTCATTCGAAACATTTTTTCCCCGCCTCAGTTATACGTATATTCAACGCTTGGCGTGAGTTTTGTTATAAACCAAAACAGATTTTTTTAAATTTTTAGAGCTTGTTAAAAAGTACAGTTTACAATTTATGCTATATAAACTGAATTACCGAACTGATACAACTTTATGAATGTTTATCATAATATTTAACTCGCAAAATTACATTGAATCCGTGCGATTTACTTTTATAAATAGCTTAAATTTAAACAATCACATCAGCTTACATCAGTTTCCTGAGCTTCGGAGATTTAAATAAATTGCATTGCTGTGTGTCCTAGATATATTGCTTTGCCTATACATTGATTTTCATAACTTTTAACATAGAATCATAATGTATTTTCCCAATGTTATTAATAAGAAGTCACTCACATACACACTGTTTCATTTCCATACATAAAGACTCCTGTTAGGACGCTGCATGAACTGGACCCCATCTGGTGTTGAGGTCGAGAACGAGTAGAAGCTACGTATACCTCGCCTAACCTCCAACTTGGAATGAAGAGGAACAGCTTTGCTTTTATTACAACTAATATTTCCTTCTCCTATTTAATACTAAAAGATTGGTTTTGCCGATGAAGTGGTAAGTTACTGATGGTGGAGTTCAACTTGCCTGCCAGATAGTTAACCTTCCTACTGAAAGGCACAACAAATTGAAACAATCGATCATTGCTTCTTAGTCATTGGTACTAAAACGTCGTATTATGAAAGTCCTGGGTTCAGATCTCGCCCTGAGACGATCCATCCTTAAGTTGACGTGTTTCTTGAGGGAAGGGGGTAATCCAATAAAATGAAGGTCACTACCGCTTCTTTCCATATCTTTTCAAAGTTATTATTTATTAATCATTCTACCATTTGGCGTTATATAGACTAAACTAAAGCAGTGTTATTAAATAAACCACAAATAACTTGGCATGCTTGAAACGGTCTGATGCGCTCACACATGTCGATGGACCAAGATGTGATAAAACTTTAAGTTGTTAAGACTGAAAGTGTGGTCTAATACTCATGTTCTTTCTTTTCTTCCTTCGCTTTCTGTATTTCCTTAACTAGGATAATGAATTTTGAAACCGGAAGGAGCCCGATGCATTAATCTTGGCAGTTCAGAACAGTAAACCCAAGACCGAATGACGCAGTTCCTGTTTCAAAGGAGCACACACTTCAGGCTCTGTTTCTCCGTCCCTGTACCGTCGGGCCTTGAAGTGAGATAATCGGCGCTGTTATCGTAGTATGCTTTGAGGGAAGAACGTGCCAATCCTTCGCACTTCCTATTCGAACGACGGGATAACTAGTTCGGTGCTTAGAGACCAAGACTCATGCCGCAGTGTTCCTTCCATAATATTATTCTGTCATGTCTTCTTCGGATTCTAAAGAGACCGCTTTGTTATAAAAAAATTGTATTAATAATTAGTTACTTTCTGATTTTCGAACACAACTAACCCCCTTAATTCTAAAAGTAATTTAAGTTGTCTCTTAAAAGTAAGAGTTCCGATTCAAGTAGTCTACCACAATCTTTCATTAATGTGGAGTAAAGTGACAAAATGAATATACTGGGATACTGGGAACGACCCGTTCTTCAAGTGCCTAGGCACTGCGGGTCCCAACTTTTCGTTGGCTTGATCTATAGGCATTCGGTAGGACTACTTGGACGAGGGATCAGCCCGTCGCAAGGCCTCTGCCTGTACACAGGACAGCACAACACAGAAAAACGCGGAAAAACATCCATGCCTTGAGTGGGATTCGAACCCACGGTCCGACCGACCAAGCGGCACAAGGCCCACGCCTCAGACCGCGCGGTCACTGCGGACCCGTGACGAAACGAATATGTTAATTCAAATTATGTATGCTCATTATTAGTTGTTGATTTGTTGAATTCACTAATGTTTATCGAACATACATGTAACACATGGGATGCAAACACAAGAAATAAAAATTTTGGTTCTAAACATACTGGAGTAGAGGGTACTTGTAGGCCTAGACGTAGAGAGGGAGGACAATATCAAAATGGATATTATAGAAACAGGGTGAGAATGTGTGGACAGGATTCAAGTAACATAGAAGAGTGTCCAACAAAGGATTTTTGTACACACATTAATGAAACTTCGGTTTCCATTAAAAGCAGGGGATTTAGCGACTTTTCACGGATGGTCATATTTTATCAAATTAGCTATGAGTTGTGTTTTAGATTTGTGTCTGTTTTAAACAAATGTCAAGAGCAACATGTGACCTGAAAGTGAACATTGCTGTCTTCTGGGATGTTGCGCTATGTAGTCTGGTAGGTATTGACCTACGGTTCAGACTCTCTTGCTGCCTCCATCATCGTCCTGATGATGGAGGCAGTAAGAATCTCAGAGACGTCTGCCTGTATGTACCAGACGACATTGTACAATATCCCAGAAGATGACCGACTTCATACTCGTCTTG